GGGGTAGGATAAGGATGGATGAGTGGGGGCTTCTTCTCGACCACAACAGCATCAACAACAGCAACAACAGCAGCAACATCAATAACAACAACAACAGCAACAACAACGACGACAGCAACAAAACAACAGCAGCAACAGCAACAACAACAACATCAACAAAAACACGACAGCGGTAGCGAGCAATAATAACAACAACAACAACAACAACAACAACAACCACAGCAGCAACAACAGCACCACCACCAACAGCTACGACGCAACAACAACGCGAACCCCACCTTGCTGGCCGAAGCCGCTGCTGCCGACAAAGGGTCCTGGCTCCCACCCCCCGACGGCTGCTGCCCCTTGGGGTTGGAGTCTCGGAGCATCTTGAACAGGCCGTCCTCGTCGATGATTGTTGTCTTCATCACCATGGCCTTCTTGTACTTGCTGCGCGCAGTTCACAAAGCCAGTGCCGGGTCGACACGGGCCAAAAAAGGCTGCATCACATTCATATCGATCGATCGTGACGCAGTTTGCCATTAAATCAATCCGGCCGCGAGGTTCACTGCCAAACTGCCCCAGTGGGCGGAAACAACAAACAGGCATGGCACGCTAGGTTCCATTGCTTCTGTCCTCTCGTCGCGCAGATCGCCGCATCGGTTTACCAACAGCAACAGCAACGAGATCTCCCTCCCCGCGACTCGCCCAACACCTCACGGCGCTTCGCGCTCGGTGATGTCAAGAGCCTGGTCCGGTGAGAACTCTGCTTGCTCCGTCCCGGCCTTGTAGGGATGCGAGGTCAATGGCCCAACGAATACGACATGCACGGCTACGAGCGCACCCCCTCCAACCCCGCACCATCCAAGCCACAACCAAGAGACACATCGCACCGCCCCCAACCGACCGCGATGCTTGTGGGTGGTATCCCACACCCATCGCGCGCCCTCAGAACGCTAGGCTACGGTCGTAGCGCGTACCTGCCCTCTTCCGGCGGCCGACCGTCATCCAGCACCGTACCCAGCACCAGGAAGTGGGTCCTGCTGCTCACGGCGCCGGTCACCTTGCCACCGTACTGTTCGGAGGGGCAAGAAGGGCGGGGGAGAGACAGGTCGCCACGGGGGAAGGGGAAAGGGGGTGGGCATCAGGGAGAAAAAATACAATATAAGACACCTACGGTTGGGTTCTTTGGACGTGGAATCGCTCTTGTGGGGGGGGGTGGTCGACGGGCTTGAGCTTGACGGCAGAGGAAACTCGTGTCAGTAGGTCCGCTTTCTCCACTTTCCCCGCGGACAAGGCCCCAAACATTCGGCCTAGACTTAAGGGTGTCCATTCCTGTACTAAATACGTAGAAAAAACACTTGCACGGAGAGGAAAACCAAAGAAAAGAAAATTGCCCACTACAAGCTGGTCCGGCCAAGACGGCTGGGACTCGCCAATATGGCCACGCGCCGCTGATTTTTTCGAGTTACGACCTGAATTTTGACACGTGATTTGGAACGTTCTCACCAAAACGCCACCGGAAGACCCTAAGCATTATTATTTTTTGTGTCGAGATATGGCCAACTTCTACTCTCGAGGGATACGAAAGACGGGTGCAAGTCGGCGAAAATGAAACAAAAATGTCTGGGGTTTTCCGGTGGCGTCTTGGCGAGAACGTTCCAAATCACACGTCAAAATTGCATGTCCCAACTCGTAAAACCCAGTGGCGCATCTCGATATTTGTGCCACGATCGCTGTACAGTCAAAGTTACATATATTGCAGGAACTCAGCCATAACTCTTGAACCACAATGAACTACGCTATGGTACGGCCATCATTCTTCGACTGGCATCGGTGGCTACGCGCACACCAAGTTTGAGCGAAATCAGCCGATGTAATGTTGTCTAAAAAATAAGGGCCAGCCCAAACCCTGCCACTCCGGAACCCAATGCAAAAAAAGTACTCCCAATTGAGACGCTGCTATTGCAGCACCATCCATGTTCACGGCTTTCCAAGTGGAAGATATGGGAGTGAGCGCCATATCCTGGCCATCAGTGGGATATGACCAGCTTGCCGTCATTCGTTGCCATTCAAGAGATGTGATCTGACTAAATACGGGGTTCATGGCCGGACCAGCTTGTACAAAACGAAAAAAAAAAAACACGGGGTTTGTTTACATTCCACGTGTACGTGGAGCACGGTTGGTACGCGCTTGCGTACCTGCTTGATCAGATCCTCGGCCGCCTCCCTCCCGAGCGAGTCCAGCACCCCGCTTACCACGAACGCCTTCCCCGCAAGGCACTGCTCCTTCCCAGAGGGTACCTCCTTCTTCCCCTCGTTCGGAGGCGCGAGGCGCGTCCCGCCACGCCACGCCGGCCGAAAGCCGCCGCCGCCGGGCGTCTTCTTCGCGCTGCCGCTGCTGCTAGCCGGCGCCGGCTTCTTTTTCGGTGGCGGGGTGGGCGCAACTTCTTCTTGTGCGTCGTCTTCGTCGCTTGAGGTCCCGCCAAGGTCTACCGCGGACGACGTAGTCGTTTTCCTGCTGCTGCTGCTGCCGCCGCCCGGTGCCGCCGACCTCTTCTTGGTTGTCGCCGAAGAGAAATGCTTGGAGCTGGTGACTTCCTGTACGTCGTCATCCTCGTCATCCCCCTCCACAACCGCTCTCTTCTTCTTCTTCACGCTGGACTTGTTTGGCGACGGGGCCGCCGCCCCCGCCTTAGGCGCCGCCTTGAGCGCCGGCGAGCCCCCCGACTTCCGCTTGCGGGACTTGGCCGTGACGTCATCGTCGGCGTCATCGTCGTCGTCGTCCTTGTCGCTTTCCTCGTCTTTCGCGTCGGAACCGCTGAAGGCTTCGTCGTCGTCATCATCGTCACCCCCCCCTCCCTCACCGTCATCATCATCGTCTTCCTTGTAATTCACGGCCGACTTCGCCGCTCTCTTCCTGCTGCTGCTGCTACCACTGGTTGTTGCTATCGAGCCCCTTCCTGCTGCTTTCTTCTTGCCCGGACTCGCCTCTGCGGGTGAACCCGAGGAGGCGTTCTTCGTCTTCTTTTTGGCGGGCTGCGGGGTCACTTCGACCACGTCGTCGTCGCTGTCGTCTGCTGCTGCTACTGCTGCTGCTGCTGCTGCTGCTGCTTGGGAGGACGCACCCTGCCCCTTTTTCGGAGAAGCCTTGGTCTTGGAGGTGCTCTCCAAACTGAGGGGTGCGGCCGCCGAAGGGATACGATTTATTGCTGAGCTACAGTTCGCGCCGTACCGAACAACTTGGCAGTGAGGATGACGAAATTGGGCACGCACCTCAGAACTTGAGCTACATTTTCGTATTGTCGGCTAAGCATCCCTGACACTAAACCTATGTATAAGGCGACCAGTGGTCGAATAATCCTATTAATAGGGACTAAGAACCTTTCAGCCTCGGGGGGGCAAAACTAGAGGTTCGTGCGTAAGTGCGGGAGCTGCACTGCTGTGCCGCAGGAGAAAGGTGGACAAGAAACAAAACAAAAAAGCGGTGTGTGTTTTCCTCCAATGCAACCCCGGCTGGTGCGTCCAAACCCCGGTACGCCGAACGATGAACGCGTATATGAAACAGACGAAAAAAAACAGTTTCGATGCTCGACGACTCACTGCTGTATTGGTGTATATGCGACACTCATCTCCTTACTAGGAACATACATAATTACACACACAGCAAGATTGCCGTTCGAGGTATACCCACGTTCAGACGGGATGTGATGGAGTATTTTCTGTGAGTGGAAGGACACCGGCTGGGTACTGGACAAGTTTCGAGTCTGCCAAACCGTTTTGTCCCCAGCCATGGCTAATCAAGGGCAATGCAAGTGGGGGAAGACGCAGACCGTGCACAACTCGCGATCTACTGCTGTATTTAGATAGAGGTGGCAGCCCGGTTGCAAGCTGATGGACCGCATCGAGATAAGTTGTGCATGCACACCGTTCTTCTCTATAAGTACTGTAGTACCCTCTCGATGGACACAGAATGTAATTACATGATAGCTTGTCTGCGAGTCCGGGCGGTAAAGGAGGCGGCGCAATCAACCAAGCATTCGCACTCTCTCGCACATTTCAAGATTTTGAAATATCAATCATGTGTGATGCCTGTTGTTGCGGTTTTGGAGTCGAGTTAAGAAAGGATGGCACTCGTTGAAACAAGGAGTCACAGGCCGAATTCATTGTTGTGCAAATGGCAGTTTTGTTGCGGGGAGGGGGTACATACGGCAGGGCGGTGGGCATGGGTCATATGGTGGATCGAATTCGCATCGATCCGCTACTCGCCAACCATATCCACCACGCGCCCAAAGCAGCAGTAAAAAAGTTTGATTGCACCACAACTGAAGAACTGCTGAGTCGCCGCCAACCGCCGCCTTCCACTTACGTACACACGCCCATGGCACTCATACACAGAAAAGGACGTGTTGCTGTGTGCGGCAAGGACTCACGTCATCTTGCCGACACCACCCTTGCTGCTGCTCTTGGGGCTGCTGCTGCTGCTAGCGGTGGCCTTCTTGCTCGGAGACTTGGCCTGGCCACCGCCCTTCTTGCTCGCCGATGCCGGTGTCTTGGGCTTGGGCTTGGATTTGGCCGCACCGCCTGCCCCTCCCGAGGAAGGGCCGAAGAAGGACCGTATGTCCATGGTCGACCGGGCGGTTGTTGTCGATCTAGGAGTGGTGTGCACCGGAGCAGGAAGGCAGAGACCAAAGCATCGAGCGCACGGGGGCACGCGACTTGAAATTTCAAAAATTGCCAGGGGGTGGGGTGCCTGTGGTGCAGAAACAGCTTGTCAAATACTCCTACAGGGGAAGGGGATGGTTCAGAATTTGGTTCACATGGAACCAAATGGATCATGAATGAATCACAGATGTGCCTTCATGCCTTTGGGCAAGACACATATGATCAGAGCGGGAACTCCATCTTTGCGGCGAGTGACAAGGTACACGTTGTACATATGTGTGCATATATGTGTACTGATGCACGCCACTTGATTGAGAGTTTTCTGCTCCACGACAAGGGCTAGTCGGTTCACTTTATGACCGTGGATGTGACGTAATCGGTCGATAACGGAGTTTTCACCTTTCATGGAACGTTCAAATTGGCCAATCAGAAAACTGCGGGCACCTTTTCTCTCTCTACTGCTGTAATCAGTCCCACAACACACTTTTCTGTAAGCGTGTACTTGTAGAGGCGAGCGAAGGGCTCTAGGCTTATCTGTCGTTGATTGATGTTGCCTTTGCAGACTCTTCGGGTCCATGTTTTTCTTGACTACACCTTTTTTAGCCTATGACCACGGGAATCGATCGCGTCAAGTGTTGTAGATCTGTACAAGGGCGCTTGGCGAACGACCGCCACGGGCGGTCGCCGCTGCGCTCGTAGGTGGAATGGCGATGGCAAGTGTGTGCGGGCGGAGTAGTGCAAGGAGAGATCCGCTGGCCTCTGGAAATATGTGTTCAGCTGCTGCGGGCGGCCCCGGCGAATGTGAAACCATGAATAATGCCGTAAATCCGAGGTACGCGAAGGAACACACGAACATCACTAAGCATGGGCTTACTCCTTTGTGAGAAGCTACAGAACGGGCCCGCAGATAAGAAACGTCAAAATCGGGTCGAGCCTCTATTTCTTATTTTCTCCCGAAGGACCAGCCGAAGTCGGCCAGTTTCTTAAACCGGATTTCTTGATTCCTTTGGGCTGTCGCATCATCCTGCTGCTCTTATTTTCTTATTGCTGGCGAAGAAACCAACAATACACCAAGCCTCTTCATGTAACATGTTCAATCGACAGCTCGGTGGTGGCGAACATTGACTGGGGTTGTCGCCTCCTCCTGAACTACCTGACTCCCGTGATTTGTGGCAATGCAACAACACAACAGCAAGCAGTGGGTAGCGCAGCCCGCGGCGGCGCGGGGACCCGAGGGGCGACTCGAAAATAACCGCTCACTCCCGCTACAAAAAAAATTACATGATGCGCTAGGATAGAAATGTAGGGGTGGGAGCTGGCAGCAGAAGTGGGAGATTTCTTATTGGACACGCTTCCTCAGCTATCTATCCGTTGTTTCTGGTATCTCGGGGTATCGCAAGATCATGTTTCTTATCGGGGCATTTCATGGCCGAGATTGAGCTGAGTTTCTTAGCCCTTCTTTCTTAGACTACTGTTCGTTAACATTTGAACATGTTTTTCTAACATTTTTTTTCTTATTTGCGGGCCCGTTCTGTGTTGTACTTACAGACGGAAATCGAGACTGCTTTAAAGCCTAGGTTCGGACAAAGGGACAATAAACCCGAGGAGCGGAAGAGCAGCCATTTCATCCGCCGAAACTGTTTGTTGTCGTTGTTGTCAAGCGTTCCGTTCTCTCTGCCCCGCCTTAATCCCCTGTCCGTACTACACTCTTCTAACACTTGGCGGCGTCGATTCCCGTGGTCAAAGGCTAACTTACTCAAAAAAGGTATATGAAAGATGGACCCGAAGGGTCCGCAAGCCAATGGAAGTTAACGACAGATAGAAATGCCCCGATTTAGTTCAGACTTGCCGCCAGCGGCGGAAAAACACTGCTTTTTTCAAAAGAAGCATGACGTCGTCATCCGTCCAGGTGAATAGCCTACACTTGTCAATCGGTGTGTGATTGGTGGACCCATGGTAGATGTCGGAGACGCGACTCTCTGCCCTCGCTAGTGCTGTACGCAGTCCGCCCCGAGAGCGCGCGCAACGGCGGGAGGGCCTTCGCAACACAGGGCTATCGGAAGCTATAACTCTCGCTCCGAGTCGAGGTCTACGGACGGAGAAACCGCGAAAAAAGGGCTCCAGGCTCACGAGAGCATCAGGATTGGAAATGCTGCTGCAATCTCATGAGCCCTCAGCCCGAAGGAATCCGTCTATAGGTCTACAAGACAATCGGTAGTACCATACAGGACGGAGAGAGAGGCATGTAGGAACGACAACACAATCATCCACAACAACAGCATATACTCCGCCTCCACCCGCCGTTCGAACAACAGAACCGTCGCGGGACCCAGCCTCAGCGGTATGAAGAACAGCTGAGGCATGGTACAAACAGTTGCGTCCGGTAGACGGTAGCGAAGAGGATCGACAGCAATCCTTCTCCCGCTGTTAGCCCTAGCCTGTCGAAGCAGCGTTTGAAAGAGAGTATGTATCATGTCGCTGTCACGTCATTCGTGTTCGGGGCACTACTGTATATCATGAAGGGATTGTGGTGAATGGAGTTGTGTCATGAAGTGAGCTGCCGTGCAAGCATGATGGTTTGCGCTCTACTGGCACATGCCGATGAGGGCCTATCGTAGTTGTTGTGAGAATCTCATCGGATGATACCTTGACGGCCGTCAAAGCACCGCCGTCATCAGATGTTGTCGCAACGTTGATGCACACAGCCAGCAGCACACCTCTTGTGGCCGCCTATCTTGGCCAGCGCCTCTATCCTGCGGCGGACTCACGTACTTTCCATTCCTTTCTCGCGCTCTCGAGCGGACCTCCTACGGCCTGTACTTTGCTGGCGACGTATCCATACACGACTACAGTAGTACCTGTACATCCGTGTACGTCATGGAGCTCCAGAAACACCCCAAAACCCCCAAAACGTTGTCCTGAATGGAGCAGCCGATTGAGAAGTTTTCATGTCCGTTGACCGGTACGGATGTTGGAAGGTACTGAGGACGGTTGTGCAAAAGTGAGAGACGTCGGCGACGACACTACCACCAGCAGCAAATGACAGAAGGAGAACCTGGCAATTATTGCAGGAGATGCCCGTACGAAGAATGAACTTCGCGACACAAGAGCCGCTGCTCAATTTCGGCGCAGCATATACGGCGCGAGCCTCGAGCAATATTGGGGCATCTTAAGTGCGGGCGCGTACAAGACAAGAGTTCTAGGTTACCGTACTGGATCTTGCTGCGGCGTACGTCAGGTATCTGAGTGGTTGGGCGGCGGTGATTCAAAGGTTTTATTACATCGTAGTGTCATGACCGCGGTGTTGTGCCGTTATATGACCAAGCGACAACAACTGCTCCTCAACGGTGTTGCGTTTCTATCGCGTACCGTCTCGGTTTATTACTGGTTCAACTGAAATCCGAAGGCTGCTCCTTCTTCTTCCGCACATTATATATCAGTTGATTGAGCATGTCGCGCTGTGTGCGCTCTCGAATTTTTAACGCTGCCCGCTGAAAAAGTGGAAAGTTTCAGGAAGGCAGCCCTGACGATACTCGTCGAGATGCCATCACAATCACAACCACGCTGGAGTAGCTCTGGTCGGATCTGGCAAGGATGTGTCGGTGGCAATGTTCGCTCCACGATATCTTGCCGCTGGCCTCGTACATGAAGGCCATGGTACTCTCCTCCGTGCTCCTAGGCGATACATGTAGTATATTCCGCCCACAATTTATAGGTACGTAATGATGTGGTGGAACAACCCTTACTCGTTAATCTCAACCACCGCTATTACCGTCCGCACAAAATTAATCTTGAGCCTTCCCGCCTCTAGTAGCTCTATCTCAGGAAGGATCTGGCCGCCCATGAAATCCCTCATGGCATTCTTCATAATGTTGGCCTCGTCGTATCATTCGAGCTTCCGCAACCTGGCCCGCCAGCCCTTGGACCTTGCCAAGGACCTTTGGCGACGCGCCCGCATCATGATCAACCAGCCCCGAGCTTGCCACGTCTTTTGACCAGGAAATCTTCGCAGGCAGTCCACGGCTAGTTGTGTCTTTCTCCTTGCCGTGACACGCCAAAGACAGAGAGGCGAAAGGAGCGATGCTGCTGCTGTTGGGGGGACTCGTACAACCTTGTGTGGATTACGAGGGAAAAATGAAGCACAGGTGACGCCGTTTTCCTCGCATGGTCCTTTCGAGGCACAGCGGTAAAACGGTTTTTTCGATTTTGTACACCTTTTCGGCAGAGGATGCCCTTTGCCGCAAGCCCTACTGCGTTCTAGTATCGGCGAGAGACAGGAAGAGAAACCGTTGGCATTACCCGTTCAAATGAAAACGAGAGTGCTACCCCCAGGTTAAACGGGTCAGACCAAAAAATTGGCTGGGTGTTGCCTGCAGCATACATTTCATGTAGAAAAGTGACCGAGCCCTCTACGAAGAACCTGTAACGACGACTGTTTCCACCTCACTCACCAGCTTGTCGGGGGAGGTACCAGCAGAACAGGCAGAGGTGCCGCACATGCCGCCAGAGATACTAGCAGAGTAGGCTTGCCAAAGGCAAGGGCCCCAGACAAGGACACAAGATGACATTTGTATATGTCTAAGGGATTGAAGCGTAAGAAAAAACAATAAACGGGGGTGAGGGGGGGGGGATAAGAGAGTATCATGCACAAATCGCGGTGAGCTGCACTTTTGAAAAGTCAAAGTCGGGGCCCAAACAGCATGCTGTGTGCTGCGCGAATCACTAGAAGCACCGGAAAACGCAAGGCAGTAGTCTACGCTTGAACACAGCACAGAACGACTACTTTGATGTCATCCGAACATGAACAGTTGTATCTACCTCTGACGCGGAAAACGTCAGAGTATGGGTTCACGGATGACCTGGTTCTCAGCGTCGTCACGAAACTGAGCGCAAAAGTGCTTCACACAATATGTAATGGGCACGCATACGAGAGACGGACGTCACCAACAGTCTGAGACAAGC